TATATATATATATAACCGAGTGCCAGTACTGTTAACTGTTTAACTGTACAATTTTCTATAGTTAGGGTAAAAAATCTATTAAATTCCGGAAAAGGACGGAGGGAATGTGTACAAAGTCAGCACCAGAATTTTTACTTGGGATTACTATTTCAGAGCTGAGAGCTCTATCACTAATCCATCCCATCAAGCAATAGTAATAGCTTTAAAAACTAACTTTAGATTGCAGAAAACCGGTAAGAATGTCATATCGAATAAAATAAGGCTACCATGACTTTCTATTACTCTTTGCTTTGAAGAATACATTCGCTTTTCGTTGTATTTATTTATTATATTTATTTATTATATTCGTTATATTATGTAAGTAATATTTTTTCCAAATATATTATAGCGTATTCAATTGCATGATTGCAAATTTACGCAGAGGCCCTTCATAAATTTCACCCAATTCATGGTCTAAAGAAGGATGATGTCGTGAACTGTTTTTTCTGAAAGAAAAAAACACGTAAAACGAACATGTTAACCTAAAATAAATCATCACTCCCTATTACATGAAGAAGAAATGTGTGAGAAATGTGAAGAGAGATGTGTGTTACAAAAAATTTCTCGAGATTACTGGGCATTTCATATTTTAAACTGAGTATATTTTAGAATAAAATAATGTCCCTTTACATATGAAATAACCGTGAACAAGCTTTCGACGATATTCACTCGATATTCTACATGATATTATCATGACTTTTTTTCTCTCTAGAAAAAAAGAATTCTAATACATTATTAGAAGATAAAAATATAAGAAAAGTATTTTATTTCCTCATAAAAAATTATGCTAAAAAAGATCTAAACTTCACCTTTTCTTTGTCTTTCTGTTATGTTTCCAGTTGGTGTATCAGTAACATCAAACATTGATAACTTCATATCAGAAGCAATGACTACACTGCGTGCTGGATTCCATTTATACTGAATATCTCTATCCGAGTATCCAACTAAAATGGCATTCATTAAAAGAATTATGCATGCACACGTAAATTGATTATGTTCATCACATACACAGAATTGAAATATTAAATGTTACTTCATTTCAAAAATATCATGCTAAAAATTCCAACGGCATCATAACAATTTATGATATTTATTTAAGAAATTTGTTTCAATTCAAGAAAACAAACCATGGTCAGAATTGATAATATATTTATTTATAACTTTTTATTCAGAATTTATGATTTTTTTAATAATTTATTTAAACAAATTATATTCTAATAAGTAATATTAATTTGGTTTATGCGAATTCATTACTTGTACGTGTTTTTCGTAGCAGAGAAATTTATTTGATGAAAAAGGAATTTTTCAATTATGTTAGTTTATTATAGATATCAGTTCCGCCTATCCAGTCAAAAAATATTAAACTATCTAGTCAAAAATAAAATTATATGATTTAAAGATTATACTTAATGATAATTCTAATTGTTAAGTTTGAATGAGCATGATGAGACAACTTGAAACTATTTTCGACGGAAATAATCTTTTCAATTAATTAATCAAAGAAACTATGACTCGTACACGTAATGCAATAAAAGCACTTAATTGCCTTATATCTGGATTTTCATAAAATAAAAAAAAAATTCCTTTTTTAACTGCATATTATTTTTTTCTGTTTGTCTTCATACACTTTGTCAATGTCTATTACTGTAATTAAGGCGCATAAAATAACCTATAAGCAATTAAAAGGGACATTTTGATCAAAGTTTTCCGCAGTGAGAAAAAACATACAGTCAAAATTACCAAAATATAGCAAAGTTTACCGTGTTTCTAGTTCTATGGCAATAGCATAAAGCTCAGTAATTTTTACCGAAGTACTCTGTTAAAGATTTTGGTAAATTTGAAAATAATATATGATTATATAATGTGTGAAAAAATTTGACAAATTTATTTACATTTGGTAATTTTATCATGATGCCTTAGCATGGCATAAAAACTATTTATTAAATTTACTTTTCAGTTTTATATTTTTCATTAAGTGCGTGATAATAAGAACTATAATTTTCAAAACCAGGATTTCTGGTTACCATATGAACGTGAAAATTACCAAATGAATTATTTAAATACCGTATAACTCTTCCCTTCCTAATTTTTTTGAAAGTAAAATGCATAAAATTTAAATATTGTTTTTATTTTCCTAATAAATATAAGGAAATAAAGCGAAACACAAGAACAAGTTTTAAATTGAATTTTAAAAATTTTTATGTTTAAAAAATATTTAATTTTCCATCCCGAGTTATCTCGGCAAATGAAAAAAGTTAGTCTTTGTATGATAGTTTTTAAAACTGGGAACAACGCAAAGTGATACTTTCTAAATGCCAGTGTTTACTGTTTTTTTCGATGGAAATTCAGTAACCATCTTATTAGATATAGTCCCTTAATCTAACACCAAATCTCCCAAACAAAATTTGTCAAACATCCAATCACAGCAAATTATGTTTTCTTTTCTTTTTTTATTTTACTTTATTTATTTTTTTTATTTTTTTTACTTCCAACTGAGTAAAAACGTGATAAAACAAAAGAAACTGAAATTCCGATTTTTCTCGGGATACAATCTATGCAGACTCGAGTTAACTGGGGTTAATGTGGGAAGCGATTACGAAAATCATCATATTCTTGAATTATTTAACTTTCTTTTGGGAAGCCGGTCATATTATTTTTGAAGTTGGAATGGTTCTCTTATCAACCTATTAAATTTATTCAAGCGCATTTTCTCTAGTCAATCAGAAATCATGCTCTGATATCAATTCAAGATCTCAAATTTTCAACCAAAAAAGCAGAGAAAAAGTTTTAAAGAAATAGAAATTACTTACAACTACCAATTTGAAGTGGACATCTTTGGACATCCATGGGAAAATTCTCTAGTTTCATTGGGCAACTAGCTCGAATGGTAAGTCTATAATAGAGTTAGTCTTTTTAATTTATTCACCAGGTAAAAAAGTAGTAGTTATACGATGAATAATATAACCAATGTACAATATGCAAAATTAACTATTTAAAGTTCATATTAGTGGTATTAGATGGAGTACGTAAACCTCCGAAATATTAACCGCTTCGGCTCATTGTTAAAAGTGAAAAAGTCTTTCTGTCACCCGAAAAGAAAATGATTTCGAGTTTTAGGAAAGAACTATCTTTTAAACAGGCTTGTGATATGTTTTTTCTTTACTTTATTGGCTTTAAAACTAAAATTTATTGTAAACATAAATGTAAGTAAATTACTTCATAAACATTTTTAACATAAAAACGTTCTCAACAATACTTCTTTGAACTGTATGTAAAAATTACAAGTGTTCGATGAAACATAAAAATTAATTATTTACTTAACTAAAACATTATCTGAATAACTTTATGCCCTAATTTAAATCTATTTTATCATTTAAAGAATGCTAAGATGATGAAAAGAATTGTCACATTTGTTACAAAAGACGGAAATGCTAATACTCTAAGTTTATTATCTAAACTAAGTTCACATGAAACAGTCAAATTGTTTTAGCTGATAATGTGATTTAATGACCCTTAATGAAGTTGGAAATAGTAAAGAATAACCCAGATTTTCATTTCCTCAAATTTAATCAAAATGGCATCTTTTAATCAGTATATGGACTAAAGGAATTATTTTTATTACTGGCATTTCACATTTCTGTTCAATAATAGATGTATTTAAATGAAATCATTTTATTATAGGGAAAGTAAATAGTAGTTTCTAATTATATTGCAATGGTTTTTTTTTCATGATATTAAGTTAATAATCAAACAGTATTAACTCTATTCTTAAATTATAATTCAAATAAATTTGTGATGTTTCAATAGTGAAAACTAAAAAAGTTGCTATGAAAATATATTTCTTTTACGAACCAGTTTTATGTATGTTTTTTAATTATAATTGGTTATTTACTCTATTTTATTTAATTTTCTTTTTACTAAAATAGAAACTTTATGTTTTACATGCAAGCATTTTAAAATGATGAAATTATTTTTTAAAATTTAATTTGAAATATAAACATTTCGAAATTATACAATTTATTATTTTTATTTGTAACATGAGTTTTATTCTTTTAATGAGTACCATGCGTTAAAAAAAGTGATTGTTCCAATATTGCAAAAATGTGGATTAAAAAAATTTTTTATTTTCATTTTTTTTTACTATTTTACTACTTTCTTACATCCGAAAAATTAAACGAAAGCATCTTTTTTGCATCAACTGATAAAATGTAATTAGAGCGAAAGCTTGCTCCTATAATTTTTAATAATATAATTTCAAAAATAAATGGATTTGCGATTTTACTAATTCATGAAAAATAATTTAGTGATTTCATTATTATATTTCATGTAGAAGAAGAATTTACTTTTATTTAACCTACAGTTTTCCAGCTATCACGGCATTTTTAAAGTACAGGGAAATTATGCCAAAGTAATAATATCTCACTTTCATTTTTTAATTGCATATTTATAAAAAACTAACTAATGTTCCTCTATTCCCCCCCCCAGCATTGAAACTCCCTCAAATCTGATAAAATATAATGATATTTTAAATTCACAATAGCATATTTAGAAAAGTAAATTCAGTTGTGTTACATGTAATTATTATTTCATTCTTGATATATGTGATTTGGTTGTGATCTAGTCAACAATAAAATGATAAGTTAAAACTTTTTTGAATTAATTGCATATATCTGTATCTACACGTTTTTATAAAGACTAAAATCTAAAACTGTGAACTTTACCTTGATGAATAAAGCACTCGTCCATCTTTATAAAGTCTAACAAATTTATTGGGCGTAGTGATAGTATGAAGATATGAATTTTTTCCATTATAAAAATATGTATCTGGTCTCCAAATTCGTTCAAGCATCGATATGGACAGCGCCAATGTTGGCATACTACTCGTATAAGCAAGTCTTCGATCCACCCAGCTTTGACGAAAATAGCAATCCATTGAATATGACTGAAATGAAAAGCACATGTGAGTAGTAACATTAGTAGCAAATATGAATTAAAGAAAACTTATACCATTCTCGATCTAAGAAAAGATAATTTCTCGGACGTTTAGAGAGAAAAGAAAAAAAAAACTTTCGCAGACATAATACATAAATACTCAAACAGTTTGTTTTTAAAATATGCAATTATTGTAACTTTATATAAAAGCAATTTGTTAATATATTAATAGCAACAAAATTGACGATAGCCTGAATTTTAAAAATAATCATCTGTACTTGAGGAAAAAAAAGAACTGACCCTATGGAATACAGATTGTGTGACTGGAGAATGATTATTAAGCTTTATATAAGGCAAAACATGATATCTCCCTTTCACAATTACTCGAGCGCAGCTAGCTTATGAAATAAAAGGATAAAGTTCTTGTGATGGAAAAAACTTCTGCAACACTATGGCAATTCTACAACAGTATATATATATATATATATACATACATATATGGTTGAAGGCACTACTGCCTTTCAAGCTACCCACCCAGAATCATGGAAGTAAAATTGACCCAGTAAGTAAGGTTGACCATATTATCACTATCATTCCGCTGGTCTCAGATTTTTTGCTAATTCCATATTTTGGCATCTCAAATTTCATTTTACAAACGGTGTTCATACTTTTACCAGGAATCTTTTAAATAGCAATTGCTATTTTATGTGCAACGCTATTTATTTTACAATTGCTACATTTTAAAATTACTGCTGATTCTTAATTTCTCCGCTGTCGGCATTTGTCCGTACTTTACACGGATTCTCTTGGCAGAGTAGAGTATCAATATACATAGTATGGTATCAGTACCTATAGTTTGTCTACGGTAAGATCTCCCCACGCCCCACAGTGTGAGGCCGTCTGTTGCTATGGAAGCAAGAATAGCGCATTTTAGGGATGGTAGCTTCTCCTCACTCTAGGGTTAACACAATCGACCGAAGTAAAAGTTTCTCTTTCTCTTGCTGACGAGAGCCAAAACCTGTCCTAAACAGTGACTCTACTTGGAATAGTTATAACTCGTTACCATAGTTACTTCCACGGATCCAAACGAATGGCTAGGGGAATTCTTACTTTTAACAAACTATACAGTACTATAACAGCAGCATGTATAAAGTATCAATACGAAATTTAGTAACAGTATAAACAAAAGGGAAAGACTTGATTTACAGTTTATTCTATGGAGAAAAAAAATTCTGTTAGAACAACTGAAACATTTCTTGTTTTTCTATCTGAAATTTCAACTCTGAAATCCTTTGAAGTATTCAAAATAATATTTCCAAACAATTGGTATAAAAAGGCAATAGCAATATAGACATAAGTAAACAAATTTTCAGGAGGAGGCTTTTAAAGTTGAGATTTTAATAGAAGCCATATGAAACAATGCACAATTGAAAAATGAATTATTTAAATAAATTGGTTAAAATCTAGAAATATATAAACTTAAGTGACCTAAATTTTCTACCGGTTACTTACAAAATACATCAGAGATTAGAGACAATGAATTGTTTGAAAAATTGATTTTAATTTGTCGGATCAATAAGTGAAATATTAAAAAAAATTAAAAATAATCTAAATGGACGCGTTCTACATACGTTTACTAAGAAAACACTTCATATCAGCTTAATATTTAGATTGCTTCACTTTGAGATAAGTTTTTGATATAGATATTCTCATTTCAATACATAAAATTGCAAAAGGTGAGCTAGTTAACCATTTCCTAATTTACCAAAAACTTTTTTCACGTGTACCATCTTATTAAAAAAGTTTTTAATGTCCTTTCAGTAGATATTTCAACACCATCGATGAGAAGTATATTGTATGAGTGGATTTAAAGTAATTTTGTTTATTTTTCAAAATATTGTTATTTAAAACTCAAATCAGAGGACTTCTGAATAAAACTAATTTCCTTCCAATCTATCGGGACAATCTTATCGAAGTAGAGGAACAGTTCCTATTTATGAGGAACTTTCCTATTCCTAATGTATAATAATTTTTTAGAATAGCTTATAAATGTTATCTTTCTCACTAAAATTAAATAAAATGTATGAGTTTAAAACGAAGTTTAAATTTAGGAAAACGATGAGCAATCGAAATTTGAAAAGGAAATTAACATTAGTAAAAACTTATATTTTAGTTATTAAATTTCAATTAAATATTTATCTGTAGACATTTTGCCAAATTAAAATTTTGGGCAAATCTCTGATGATATAACCCTAAATTGAAAGTTTTTCTTTTTGTTGTTAAATTACTTGTTCTTTTTTAATTTTTTTTAAAAATTTTTCAGCTAGTTCTCGACTTGACTATTTTTCAACTTTTGAATACGTAAACGTATGCTTTAAAGCAATGACGCTCAGCTCTGATATTGAATCTGCTCAAAGGAACAATTTCATTTATTTTAATTTAACTTATATTTTTTAATTCAACTTTGTTTTTACAACGTGCATTTATTTTAATTTTACTTAAAGGATCCATACACTTTTCCTCTCACAATGATTAGGCTAACTTTATTTATAATGCTTTTCTCTGCGTGGTTGAAACATTAGAATGCAATAGAAATATTATGGAAATTTAATCTATCCAATATCAAAAATACACAGATAACTTTTTTTCTATGGGATATTCATAACATTTTTGAAAATCTGACATCACATTTCGAATATGATATACTCGAAATTGGGTTTTTTCAATAATGTATATTTAAAAAAACAGTATTAGGTAGATTTATTTGAACCGAAATCACTGTTTTGACAGTTTTTGAATCTCCAGTGTGTTTGATATGTTTATTTTCGTATAATATTTTTCTTTTGACACGTGTGTTTGTGTATTCATTGGTTATTGTTATTTCGTAACATTAATGAAATTGTATTGTAATTATTAACTAATCAATTTGATGACATGTTCTATCAAAAAAAGTAATCCGAAAAAGTAAACAAGCATTGAGTTTTCAACATTCTCGCAAAAACCTAATCAAACATATTTTATTTCATAACATCATCTAAAGTTTTTACAGCTGAAAGTTGTGTCAAGTTTTCAAAAGTATTGTTGTAAATAAAAGACATTTTGCTGCAATACTGCCCTTACAAATTAAACAACCAAGTTTCCTTTTTTTTCTACATTCGTTTTGAATCCCTGAAACTTCCATATTCTTAAGAAATTACATCTTTTCATGACTTTAGAAAGCTCTATATCCTAAACTCTAAGCTATACATTGCCTCTAACCCTTTTTCGACGTAGGTGAAAAAGAATCGTTTCCTTATTTCCGGCAATTTTATTCGCAGGATATAGATGTTGCTATATCCTAAGATGGAACCAACGGAAAATAATAAGTGCTTTCTATAGCCATGGTGGCATGTTAGAATTGTGGCAAACGTACCATATCTACTTCAGATACAGGACCCATACTACGAACTTCAATATCAATAAGAACCTGCGTAGCAGGACCTGCAAAAGACATTTTAATCAGTAAAAAATATTTAAAAAGAATTATAAGCATTACAAAAGGTTTCAATTAAAATTAAACTGAGTTTTAAGAGATTTAAGTTTTGATTGTCAAGTTATTTTTCATAGGAACTACAAAAACACCTTATACGGTAACCTTGAGAAATATTACGTGGATATGAACTCCAAACCAAGAATAAGAGTCAAATTTGAAATTGAGTTGTTCTTAGTCTTTTTCAAAATTTCTACTTAGAAAATTCATAAAATTGTTTAAATTATTAGTTTTTCATTATAAAATATTTTTTTAATATCAATCTTACTCTTATTTTTATCATTTAGTAAACTGGTTGCTCAAACAAACACAAACTTATTTCTATATAACGACATATATTTTGGTATGAAGGTGAGGTAACCTACACTTACTTAATTTTAATCAAAAACTCTTATGATTAGAAAAAATATTCAAATATGAAACACTAAAACTTTTTCAATAACTTAAAGTGGTTACTTTATGCATAAACTCAAAAAAACATAAATAAAAAAAGTGACTGCACCACTCTTAATATAAATGAGTTTTTTTAAACTGTTTAAATAACAATGAAGCGTTTCTTTTGTTGAAATAAGGAAGTAAAGATCTGATCAACAAATTGAAAGGGGGTGAAAAAAGTGTGAAGTCCGGACGTAAGTGATTATGCAGTGTTAAAAAAGAAGAGATCCATGAAGATGATCCTTCAGTTAGAGGAGGAGAAGGAAGATGAGTAAAGAAGAAAAAACATGGTCGGCATCTTTTATTCCCACTTTCAAAGTTCTTTCAAATACTTTATTCTTCCCTTTTCATCTTTTTTCAAATTAAAAAAAGCTTTCGTCCAAAAACTTCTAGGGGTCATATTTAAGATACGAGATTATTAAAATAGCATTTGATGATTTTTGCTTTAAGGATATATTTTTCTCTTTTGCAACTGGAAACTTTATTTTTATACCCAAGTTCTTAAGATTAAAAAGTCTATCACGAACAATTTTGACAAAATAAGATCATTACTTCGAATAGTTGAAGATGTTCCCCTAAGTGTCATTTAAATAAAAGAAAAAAAATGTCTGTGCAAGTTTTGGAAGTATATGCGTGTAAAAATGTTGTTAACAATTATTATAATCGAATTCGTCACTGTACATAATGAAAAAGGCAGTGTATTAAGTAAATATACATTCTTTAACTTTGTAATTGTAACTTAGAAATGATTAATTCTTTTTTTTATATATTATTATTGCACTTAAATAAAGTTAAACTGCCAGGAAAAACGAAAAATAGGATTACTTAATCCGGTTCTTTAATAAAGAAACTTCAACAGTTACCAAACATAAAATGAAACAGAGAAGCACAGAGATATTAAAGAAAATTAGAAGAAAAAGAGAGGAAACGACGAGGGAGAAGAAGGAATTGACCTTACCGAGAGGAAAGAAGAAACTAATTCGAACAAGATATTTAGCCAATGGAAAGGAACTAAGAAAGAACATGAAAGGATTTCCAGAAATCTGGATCAGCGACTGAAGAGCTTTGATAAATGATTTTAACAGAATGAAGACAATGATTAGAAGTTTAGTTAAATAGGCAATAGAAGAACAATTAATGTCTCGATTTTGCCCACATCTTTCATAATTTTCAAGTCAAAATTTAGGAGAACGTTTAGTTTATTCAATATTCACAAAACGGAGCCATGGTGGTTAAGGAGACAAAGCACTCGCCTCCCAATGAAAAGAACCGGATTAGAATTCCGGAGATGGCTGGTCGATACGAAATCCGCACCCGGCTTGCCCTGACCGCAGTGCTAACGTGAAATATCCTCAGTGCTAGAAGGATCATGGATTAGAATCCCCTTGCAGCCAGGCTAACCGTGAGAGGTTTTCGTGTTTTTCTCCTCCATGCAACGCAAATGAGTGTTAGTTCCATCGAAAAAGTACTCCACGATGGCAAATTTCTCCAAATACTGGATCCAGTAATTCCCTTGGTTTCAGGAGTGGGTTCAAAATTACAAGGCTACGGAGCTCAACATCAGGGCTAAAGAGAATAGAAGGGCTGGTTCACTCCTTTGAAGAAACTCTCGCCGCTCCAATCCTCCGATTTTCTCTAGTGACGTACACTTTGGCGCAAAGCTCGCACTTTTACTTCAAGAATAGAGCGTTCGGCCTTACTAGCTCTAACTAACATGGGAGCATTTCTTTTTGTGACATATTCTAAGACATTTGTTATTTTCTATAATGACTTTCCTCAGTTTTTGCCGTGAATTTACAAAATTTTAAAACTATGAACGAAATGCCAGTTTGCGCGATTGCAACTTGCAAAAATTCTGATAGAAAAACAAAAGGAAAAAATATAATTTTCCGCGTGTTCCCTAAAGTAAATGAACAACTATGTGAAGAATGGATTCCGAAATGACACAGTTAATATAAAACAGCAATACGTCTTTTCTATTAAGAACTTTTATAAAAATTCGTTATCTAAATAGAAACCGCCTCGTTACTTCAAAAAGAAAGGCATGTGAAAAAAATTAATAAATGGATAAAGTCAGAGAAAATTAAAACGTAAGTAAAATGTAAAAATTAAATATATAGTGTACAGTTGAAATTCTCCTAATTTCATAACTTATTTTTTTAATGTAGTTATTCTAAATATTTTTTTTTAAATTATATTCTCTTGAATTTAAGTATCCATAAATTATATCATCTTAAATTTAAATATCTATAAGCAATTGTAAAATTTCTAATGTCATTATGAACCTAAATTATTATTTTGCTTCAGTAATTAGCGTTTAAGGTTGATTTTTCCTAATGATTAAGTATGAACAAATTGCTATTAACGGCATATTTTAAAATCGGGGATTCTAAATTTAACTCAACTTATTGTTATAAAAGAATATGTAGATAAAAAAGTGTCGATATATGCTTTCATTTTTCTTAATAATTAAAGTTAAAACTGAACTTTTTAAAATAAAGTATTTATAGTGTCATTTTCGCCAACTAGTAAACTATTTTTATAAGTTTAAAATGATATTTTTTTAATATAATGGCCAGGAAAGTTTTTTTTAAACTATGTTTATGAATGGAAATAATGTTTTAATTACGAAAAGTTTGAAAGCTAAAAACCAGAAAAAGTCTAACTTATTTTTACAAAGAGAAAGATGCTAAATTATCATAATATCCTTGCGTGCGATCTTCCGAGATCTGTGGACACAGTGACGTCATGCGGAGGGAAATCGTAGTTTCAGCTCTAAGAGCGGAGTGAACTAGCCCTTCTATTCTCTTTAGCCCTGGTTTGGTAATCGTGAACTCTAAATTGGGTCAGCTGTTCAACGACGGTTCTAAAATAAAAAATATATGCAAGGCTACAATGAAAAGAAATCTAGTAAGTACTACAGCCATTAATGTTAGCAATAGTGTCCTAATAGCAGTAAGGTTGATGATATTTAGTCTATTAACAGGAATGATTTTCTTTTGCTCAGTTAGAGAGTTTATTGGATTGTGTAGTAATTTCGTATAGATAGAATTAATAATATTAGAGAAAAATCTTCGGTTAGCAGTGATAGATTTAAGGTAAAAGGTTTTTAATAGAAGAGAACACTGCAGAAACAAATTTACTGGGCTAAGAGGATTACTCATCGCTAAGTCATTGATACGATAAAATATGAAAGTTCAATGCTCTAAAAAAGTGCGGATAATGTGTATGAATTCTTCAATTTCAACTTAAGTAAAGTGGAATTCTTGTAATCTCATTTTCATTTCAATAGTGCATATACAAGATCCTGTTCTTTGCCTTGATTACATTATTCAATCTTATTCCTTTCATCTTATAGTTTTTTTTTACCTTATCATAATTTGCTTTGTAATTTTATTCTATAATTTTCTGTGCTTCCGTTTTTCAATCAGTGTTTAGAAATTAATGATAGTTCTTCATTATGGAGTTAATATTACGGAACGTCTGTTGATATGATAAAATCGCTTATTTAGCTTGTTCGCCTTTCGCTTGTTTAGCTTCAATCATTCGTGAGTTTGGCTACATGGAAACATGGTTCCATTTAGTAACATCAAATAGAGCTTGTTACAAAGTTGCGGTACGATACCTTTATTACAGTTCAATATTAGTCAAAGTATTATTTTTCTTAGAGTGTATAATATTTCAATTAGCATAAAAAAATTAATTAAAAAAATGCTGTGTGAAATTTGATTTACAGTCTTATTGGATATTGGGAGTTGCCATTTCGATAATTTATGTTGTAACTATAAGTGAATTATAAAGAAACTCAGATCTCAGCTGCATATTTTCAGAAAATTTTATATATATTTAATTTCAATTTACTTTTTATGAATTTAATCGTAAAACATGCTCAGCACCGGTTTAAGAACGCTTAAATTTCTGAATTGCTAATTTATTTTGGTCAAATCTAAGCGAAAAACATTAATTCATTTCTTAATTCTTAAAATAAGGCATCTTTCGTTTGAACAGTTGTCAGGAACAATGTTAGATCAAACTTTTCACACATTCTAAATTGACACTTATTATAACTGTTTCACTAAACTCTTTGTTTTATTTATGTTATTTTTAATTTTATTAATGTTATTTTTAGCTTTATTAATGCTATTTTTAGTTTTATAAAGATTAGTTTTCTTTTTACTCCTAGCGAAATTTTAAATAAATCAAGTAAGTTTTTCGGAAATGAAAAAAAAAGAGAAAATAATAACTATGTTTTAGTTACAAAGTATGTTTCTTGGAAAGTTTGAAACATTTGATTGAAAGAAAATGGTTTTGAATTAATATAATATATTTTGAATTAATGTAATATATTTTGATTGAATATATTATATTTAGAATTAATATAATATATTTGGAATTAATATAATATATTTTGAATTAATATAATATATTCTGAATTAATATTACATATTATGAATTAGTATAATATATTTCGAATTAATATAATATATTTAGAATTAATATAATATATTTCGAATTA